CATTCGCAGCTATACCAACATAATTCACTATTTCCCTCAATTTACCATTAATTTTCTCCAACTCGCACACGGCCTAAACTGTCAGAAGATAGCGGAGACACAAAACAGCAACCACATAACAGTTTGGAGTCATTTAAAAAGAGTAGGCTCAATGTTCCAAACCATATGATTTAACTGAAGCAGAACGAAATTCATTCATTTTTGAAGCGAATTTTTAGAAGCAATGAAAAATGAAAGCGGGAATATTCAACGCAAGCGATCATGTTCTAAGGCCGGTGAACATTTATAAACGACATAAAAGCCTGGATTAATGGTGAAAAAGGTCACGTTAAGTATTTAGTGGGATTGGAATAGACTTCTCTATTATGAGCTACACTTGAGAGTTACTCCTGGTGCAACGGCTAATTGGGTGCTCTACTGCTCACAAATCGAATGTATGAAAGAATAAAGCTAAAGCGATCAGAATTGAGGAATAAAAGGGTTGTGTTTCGTAAAAACAATGCTAGACCACACACATCTTTCATGACTGGAAACTTGATTGGAAAGTTTTAATGCATCCATCGTATAAGCCTGAACTTGCATAGTCTAACTACTGTTTGTCTCAGTCTCAGTAAAATTCTCTTAATTGTAAAAACTGGCAGACCGAAGGTCTATTGAAAATCAAGGTTTTCAATGCTTAGGTTTTCGCCGATAAACTACAGAAGTTTGACATCGATGAAATTATGAAATTACTTGAAAATTGAAGAGAGGTTATAGATACATTTGATTATAATTGATTTCCCATAAGGAATATTGCCCAATACATGTTCTTTTATATATTACAATTAGTTTTACAAATAATGTATGATCACAGCCAAACAGCAATTAAAACACTAACATTTTGTCATTTAATCAAAACTACTAAGTCATAGAAATCAGCTGGCTAAATCAAGTCACGAATACCAATCTTATATGTCCAGGTTATAAAAAAATTTAAGAGAATGAAAAAGCAAACAGTTTAACCCATCTTGGTTTTTTTATGGATGAAGTTTTATGGGTACCGGTATATGTTTCCCTGCAGAGTGTACCGTACTTCATATATTAATGTGATGTGGAGTCCACACAAAGAAATTGTACCTTCAATTCCAAAACTTATTATAGGAATTGCGGAAACTTAGACGAAAAAGAAAATCACACACTTTCTCTGTGACTGTCCTTGGCTAAGAAAAGGAACATAATTGAAGTAGTTTCTGATAGTCTGTAAAACTAATCAGTAAAAATAAAAGATCTGTTTAATTATATACACAACTGTATGGTTCAGTTTATGTATAGGGATAATGTGGAATTAAAACGCGAAATATCTGTTAATTATGTGAGATGGAAGGGTATCTGCGTGTATGATCAATAAATAATATATGATCTGATATTGGATTATATTGGATAGCTTTTCATAAATTTTGATATGATCAATATATATAGCTCAAAAAGTACCCGGATTTTGTAAATAAAACACAAATTCAAATTTTATTCCAAATTTATTTTATCTCCTTCAAAATATGCTCCTTCTGAAGCGATACACATATGCCAACGCTTAACCCAATCTTCCATACACTTTTCGTAGGTCCGTGCAGGTATGGCTTTTCCTTCGGTTCCTTCGGCGAATTCTCATTTACCGATTCAATCGACTCAAAACGCTTACTACGAAGGAGCAATTTGGGTTTCGGGAACACGAAAAAGTCGCACGGCGCCAGATCTAGCGAATATGGTGCCTTAGCGATGACAGTGGTGCCGTGTTTGGTCAAAAAATCGCGTACAACAAGTATTTTCCATAGTAAAAATCGCTAAATGCACTTGAGGTAGTCTCACATTAACAGCTGCTGTAAACAAATTAATTTACAGATGGCGCTCAAATTTGTACCATATGTCAAGAAAAGGTGTACCAACATAACACAAAAAAATTTTTTTTGAAAAGGTCTATTACTGAAGGAGTACTTAACAAACGACAGAATCCGGATACTTTTTGAGCAGAAGGTGCATTCTCTTATCTAAGTGAACAGGTGAAGAATGTTTAGGTGAGTCGCTTGTTTTCCCTGTAATAGTCTAATTTCGGGGTTTGAATAGGATAAAAACGTTGTAGTGTTTAGTGGTGTTAGTAGTGAAATGCATTGTTCAATGATATTTCTTAGTCGATAAATTCTTTGCCCCGATATATGTCTGCATTGGTTCTATTACATAACATTCTGCTTCAGTGATTGTTCAAAGGATATTTGATTGTACCTTTAGAATTGTTGTAGTTTTATTTTGCTTGCTGTTCTCAAAAACTTGTTTTATTTTATAGATGAGCAATTTATTTTCGGACTCAGCTGCCAGTATAGTTTACCAAATCTAAAATTACATTGATTACGTTTTGTAATTATATATTTTTTCGAAGTGCTTTCGGTCTACCAAGACATATCCGTTTTGTAGTATAACTATCACCACTTCCTTAAAACATCAATTGACTATTGACTATTATAATGAACTTTGCAAAGAGAGACCTTGTTATATTTGATGTTCATCCGTGAAGCGTGATATCTCATAGAACATTAAGACGTCTAAATATTTTACTGTTTTAGAGTATTGTTTATCTTTATTATTATTAACAATTTATTATTTTGTTAACAACACCTTGTGCCTATAACCAAATTAATGGCATATCGGTTTCAATCGATAGTGTAGTATATCTTTACCATAGCCAGACTTGAAAATAAGTTGATAGATCTGTGAGTTTGTGAGGTTCAGCAATTTGTTTCGGTTTTGTAGTGGATAATGTTTGAATTATTTACTAATTTTTGAATAAACTGTTTGATTGAATTTCACATAGATATTTATAATGAAATTTGTGAGGTAATATAGCCAGTCTAACGACATGGAGAGTCCCTTACCAAACTTATATTGCAGTAATATCAACAAAAACTAATGGTTATTGCCTCACTCTTTATTGGGTTACTATAGTATTATTTTAGTGATCCTTTGATGAATTCTCGAAAATATGATTTTTAGTGACTTAAAAAGATGAAAGTGCATACTAGGTGTTTTCTAAAGTAACATAAATATGGGAGGTGATTCTTTGATATCAGCAATATAGCAAAAAAATTATTCCTTCAAAGAACTTAATTTATTTTATAAATCGATTTCGAAAATGTGTTGCATAGTTTTTGGCTGTAATTAATCATTATGTGTTCATTTTGCAATAGTAGAAAATAAATTAGGGATTCCCGAATAGATTCAAAAAAGGAATTCCATAATCTCCGTACCTATAGATGTTTTGAATCTACATAATACTTTTCTTGGTATGTTCTCTTCATTTTATATAAATTGAAACTCTGAAAGACTGGTTAAAAAAGCATTAAATGATCCATATATTTATAATATAACTGTATTTTATTTAGATTGTCAGTGTTTCGTTGTAATTTTAAAACGGTAAAGGGTATATAGACCTATAAAGCATTACAGACACGTATTTAACTTCTGAATGACTCAGCAATAATGTCTTTAAAGATAAATAGGTATTGACTTATAACGGAGATTATTATACTTAAGAAATTATTAGATAAATGATAGATAAGCCGATTCTATACCTTTGACTTCAATACTCTTTATCATATAAGTATATAGTGTATTACGAGAGCGGTTTGTTAAGTTAGTGACTTTTTGAATAAAACAAATTTTTTTCGGCAAATAAACATTTTATTTTTCTACATAATCACCTTTTAGCTCCATACATTTAGTTCAGCGTTTTTCTAATTTTGTTATTCCCTCACAAATAATAGGTTTTCTCAAAGCTCTTAAAATACGCGTTTGTTTCGGTAATGACTTCTTCATTCGACTCAAATCTCTTGCCGCCCAACCATTTCTTTAGATTTGGAAACAGAAAATAGTCGCAGGGGGCTAAATCTGGAGAATATGCTGGATGGGGTAGCAGTTCGTATCCCAATTCGCGGATTTTGGCCATCGTGACTAGACAAGTATGCACGTCTTGATGGAACAGCACTTTCTTCTTTACCAAATGCGGCCGTTTTTGCTTCAAATCAACGTCGAATCTGTTCAAAAGCTTTGAATAATATTTGCCGGTGATCGTTTTACCTTTCTCGAGGTAATCGATGTGAATGACACCGCTTGCATCCCAAAAAAACTGTGGGCATGACCTTGTTGACTGACAGACTTTGTTTGGCCTACTTTGGTCCACATTCACCCCTAGCAACCCACTGTTTCGATTGTTTCTTGGTCTCTGGCGTGTTGTAATGGATCAACGTTTCGTCCACAGTAACAAAACGGTTAAAAAAATTGTTCGGACTACTGCTGAACATCGCTAAACACTCTTTTGAAGTGGTCACACGATTGCGCTTATGATCGAGTGTGAACGCGGTACCCATCTCACGGAGAGTTTTTTCATGTCCAAATATTCGTATAAAATATGATGTACCCGTTCAGTTGAGATACCTACAGCATGAGCCAACTCGCGCACTTTCATTCTCCGATCTCCAATATCATTTTATAAATTTTATCGACAATTTCCGGCGTGATCATTCTTTTGGGTGACCTGAACGTTCGGCGACCACAACGGAACACTGTAAACCACTTCTAAACCATTAAAATTGATGGTGCCGAGTCCCCGTAGTATTTATCAAGTCTTTCCTTAGTTTCAGTGATGGTTTTTTTACGTAAAAAGTAATGCTTAATCAGCACACGAAATTCACTTTTTTCCATTTTCGTAAAAATTCACGAGGTTGTCTGCTTTGAACGGCTATCAAACATCAACTGAACGACGTAGCTTGCTCATAACTAGAAAGTTGCCCACTGTTAGATTACAGCTGACGGCAGCACTATTCTGAAATTTATTTGCACTTTTACTTGGAATTGGTAACCAAATTTTTTAACATGAAATGAAAACACGTTCGAGTACTGTGGGATTATAATAATTATAGTTATACTATTAACTAATCTTAGCTAAGCGATTTATAATATTAAAAGGAAATAAATTATTTTTTAATATAGTCGTTTATTCATTTTTATTCAATGTTTATTATTTTTTAACTGGAAATTCCAGTGTTAGATTTAATCCAGTCCAAGTAGCTGGTAACACGTGTGAAAGCAGCTGGATAACCCTTTGCGCAACCAGCAGCAGCACCGAAGGAAGTCAAACCAACTTGAATATTATTAGATTGCAAAACCAATGGACCGCCGGAATCACCGTTGCAGGTGGATACTCCGCCAGTTGTAGATACACAAATGTTGCTGGCAGTAATAGTGCTGCCAAATGTAGTAGCGCAAACAGCGTTAGTGATAATTGGTACTATAGCATATTGCAAATTGTTGGTTACGCCGGTAGCGGAATCGCTAATACGACCCCAACCAGAAGCGATGCCTTTTTCACCAGCATATGTTGAATATGAGCTAGCAATTGCAGGTAATTTAACGGCTTGAATCTTGGTGCTGTATGATACGGATGGGATCTTAATCAAAGAGATATCGTTCTTTAAAGTCTTAGAATTCCAACCGGAGTGAATAATGATTGAGCTGCTTGATACTGTAGAGGTTACTTCTGCTGAGGTACGGACTGTAGCACCCAAGTAAACAGTGACGGATGATATACTAAACAAAATAAAGGTGTAAAGATATGTTAGAAATAATAACTATATTTTTAAATAATATTTTTTCGTTTTTTTTGAAACTTACCCATCAGTACAGTGAGCAGCAGTCAATACCCAGGAATTTCCAATCAAGGAACCACCACACCAAGCAGAGGAGATAGCACTGACCTTCAATGAAAGACCAACTTGATATGGGAATTGTCCTACTGAAGCAGTGTTGCCGTTGGTAATACGTCCCTCTGGCTCATCAAGAATTGGCATCACGGCACTACGGGAGAAGATTTCATTTGATCTAAGATCAAAGGCAGAGGCGCAAGCCAAAGCCAAAGCGAAAACTAAAAGCAATTTCATAGTGCTGAATCGTTGAGAAAGGTTAAACAACTGATACTTTTTGTCGAGTTGTGGTTGCTTTTATACGAAAAATTTCTATGGGTTCAAGTAGTTGATAAGAAATTATATAGATATAATGAAAGTGAATGAAAGTAGATTTAGTTACAAACAAAAATATAATGCAAAATTATTAATTAAATCAAAGGCATGCCTTCTTAACTTGCAGATTATTAAGAAGATAATCATTTTTAACAGACATTTGGTTTTTTAATCTATTGACGCACATGAGATAAACTTTGTATTTATTTTGAAAATATTTGCAGAAAATATATTTATTTATTAATTTTTACTATTCGATTATAAATTCTTAATTTTTAAATATAATTAAATTCTTAACAAAATATTTACTTAATTAAAAGTAATTAAAATCGACAGCCATTCCCAACTTTTATTTTGTTAAAAATAATATTTCAAAAATAAAAACATTTAAATAAAAATTTAATAACAATTATTATATTATTATTAAATTAATTATTGTATAATTATAATTATTCCTTTTTTATTAATTTATTTATTTTTTAAAATTGTTTTTTTGAATATTTTTATTTTTTTTTTTGTACTTTTTTTATTTTATTATATTTTATTTTTATTATATGATTTATGTTACCATAAGTAGAAATGACACTAGTGACCTAGATAGAATTGTGCAAAAGGGGGTGAGGATACACCAAAAAGGAAATTGTTTCGCACTAATTCAATATTATTACATATGCGGGGGTCATTATTTGTTTTGAAAGGATCCAATGTTATATATGTACGAGTGTTAACTGTGACACAGCCAGTATTGTGTGAAAATTAATAAAATAATCTAAAATATTTAAAATATTATTAAATTATTAATATTTAAATATTAAATTTTAAATATTCTTTGTCCAATTGATCTATATTCTAACCCTCTTGAATGGGCCAGTTAGGATAACTGTTTTATCGTAAGTATGAATGTTCTTAGAAGTTAATATTAACATCATAAATCGTTTATGATGTTAGTAATTGGGTTATCATTAGACTGGGAGCAATTGTTGTGGATGCATTGTTAATGGAAGCACTAGGAAGTGTAATACTAAGAAGCTATCAATCAAATAATTTGATAGAGCTATACTGAATGTTTTCGGAAACTGACAAATGGAAGGATTACTATGTTCTTCAATTCATATCTTTACGGATATGAACTATATTTCAATTATTATTGTTAATATGTTATATAAATAAAATCGAATTCTATATATTAATTTTAAATAAAATATGAAACATGAAAATATGAAATAAAATATTTCTAATCCAACATTTCTTTGTATATGATATCTACTTTACGAGATATATACGGATATTTATATCGTCCAATATAGAGAGAAAGACAAAATTTCTAATAATAATTAATTACAACAAAATTTTGTTTTTTCATTTTAATGAATTTTGGGCTTTCTCGAGTTATGTGATGTTTCTTTCGCTAGTGAAACGTATTGAAAATAAACAAGTTAGACTTTAACCCATAAAAACCATATATTAGGAATGATTTGTAAAAAGATATACATCACTTAAACAGTAAAGTGCAGTTGTGAAATTTAATCTGATATATTAGAACTGATAATGTTCTGAATTGTTCTTTGGGGCACTTCATCTAACTTAATTCAACACATAAATTCCTTTATTAAAAAAACTGTCAAAATATCTCGTAAATTTTAAAACCGCAATATTAATGTCTAGCACAGGTCTCTTGTTACTTTAATATTCGGTTACACTTTATAGAGATATAATTTTTAGAGTACACTTAAAAAGAGAGCAGAATTAGAAGTAGTAGACGAAGCAGAAATTGTCATCCATTGCTATACAGTCCATGTCTTATATAGACTGTATAAGCTTGTACAATATTTCTCCATTTTTCTCTATTTTTGGCTTTTATTTTCCAGTTAGTGACATTCATATCTTTCAGATCTTGTCGAACATTGCTACTCAATCCCTTTCAGGGTCATCATTTTCTTTTCTAATTTCCAATTCTGTTCTTACTTCACTTTCGAAGATTCTGGCTGCTGTTCTTTTCCCAAGTAAAATATTTATATATAACATATATTGATATCTATGAAGTAAAGGAATACATTGGAATATTTGTATCTCCAATATATATAAAATCAGTTGCATGGTCAGCTATATTAAATTGATTTTTAACGTCCGTTTTGAGGAAAGTAACTAAAATCATAATATGAACTATTGTTTTCAATATAAAGGTTTTTATCGGACAGTAATGAATTGTAACAACAAAAATTTTTTTATTTTTTTTAGTTAATTTGATTTTTGGCTGAACTTACAGGTGTTTCGATAATTGCCAAATACCCATCAGAAGTAGTCTGTGTATATAAAGTCTTGAAGATAGTGTAACTATTTTTGCTGGTGTATTTTATACATTATATTTAATTATTTTTATAGCTTTTCTACAAAAACATAAGGAAGTGAATAAGTTTTTCTTTGCAAAAGTCCTGAACTGGCAAGATAGTGTCATTTCAAATTATGAATGTCTAGAAACTAATGTGTGTGAGCTGGCGAAGATTCCAAATTTACATCTTCCAAGGAAAATCTTATATTAACTGTGCAAGTTGGATGTATAACATAGAATCGTATATCTGAGTATATGATAAAGAAACGGCACCATACGTTACTTCCGGAAACAATCAACCAATTTAATTCGTTGGAAAGTTTTTCAAATGAAATGGATTATACGAGTAGCTTATTAATATTATCCTTTCAATAAATCTTTTCTAGAATTTGTTGAAGTAAATAAAAAAACCTAAAAATTTTATCAAAATAATATTGCATTGGTACATTGTCTTTAATCAAATTAAAATTAAAAACCCGATAACATGACATAGAAAAAGTGCAAAATAGCAATAAATGGAAAGTATAATACCGGGTATCTAGACAAACTTTGAAAGAATTAGAATTTAAAAGTTCTGTGAAAAGTACGCTAATAAAAAGATTAAATTTTTATGAGTTCAGTTAGATAAAAGGTATTAAATCAATTCAAATTTATGGCTCACAAAAAACTTCACTTGTCAAGTATGACAATATATTGCACTGATTGAGTACCTATTCCATATATTATTATATTATTGAAATGACATTTCATAAAGTACGTATAATACATATAGTATATATAATCTCAATATTGAAAAGTGCACAAATCTATTGTTGAAGCTTTATTACTACATTCAATCAATGAAAAATGTCTTATCACAGACATTTTTTACGTACCATAGGCCACCGCGATTATGTTAAAAATTCAATGATAATACAATAAAAAATATTATTAATTTAAAATGGATAAGATAATACTATTTCTTAAAGATGTATAAATACAGGTAGAAGTTTCATATTAGGATAGTAGTCGAATATAATTCGCTTCATAATGAAACTTCTGATTGCATTGAGCGTGCTTGTAGCTGCTGTGTCGGCTGGCACTCAACCACTGGTTGAGGTTATGCCTTACCAGGACTTGGAAGGACGTATTACAAATGGTGACGTTGCTTCTGATGCACAATTTCCTTATCAAGCTGCCTTAAGGTTAGGTATGGAAGGTGGTTATGCTTTTTGCGGCGGCAGCATCCTCTCAGATGAATGGATTTTAACCGCTGCTCACTGCACTGATGTAGCACATAATGTTACCGTTACTGTTGGTGTCACAAAACTCAGTGGAGAAAATGAAAAGTTTGAGCAAAAAATATTTGTTACTAGTAAAAATATCATCGTTCACGAAGGCTGGAATCCATCTACTTTAACAAATGATATTGCCCTCATAAGATTATCTGCAAAGATACAGTTCAATGGTAAAAATGTTTGACTTTTTATATTAGAATCAAGTCCTAAATGTTATTCATTATTTTAGAACATACTGAGCCTGCTGTTTTACCAAAGAACAATGATGGTGATTATGTTGGTGATTTGGTTTGGGCTAGTGGTTGGGGCAAGGATAGTGACTCTGCAACTGCTGTTTCTCCAGTTCTTCGATACATTGAAGTTCCAGTTTTGAAGCCCCAGACTTGTAGTACCTACTATCTCGGTGTGATCACTGAGAAAATGATTTGTATTAGTACCAAAGGTCATAAATCTACCTGCAATGGCGACTCTGGTGGTCCATTGGTACTTAAACAAGATGACCAAAACATTTTAATAGGCGCAACATCGTTCGGTATTGCATTGGGTTGTGAAAAGGGTTGGCCAGGTGTATTTACTCGTGTTCCTGCTTATTTGGATTGGATTCATGCTAAAACTGGTTTAAAATAAATATTTTTAATAAATAAAAACTCATTTTAATAAACAAGATATTAATTTTTCAAATCTCTGCATCTGCAACATTTATTTCTTAGTTCCGCGTTATGTTATATTGAAGTTCCAGTTATAAAGCAAATCAGGTTGCAGTCCGTACTATTTCGTTGTAATCATTAATAAAATGGTTGGCATTAGCACCATAGCAAATCTGCATGGAATGGTGACTCTGGTCATCTATCGGTACTTAAACAATATAACATAAACTGTTTATAACGTTTCAGTAGTTCTGTGGCAATACAAGAAAATTTGAATTTAAAAAAGCCAAATAATTGGTTTGGGTTATTTAGATATAAGAGTTATGTTCCTCTAGTTTTTCATATTTGCGTTTAATAAGAATATACCACTTGGGAAAGTAGAGGAAGTTATAAAGGATTATAATTAGTCATTATAAAGGTTAATACTCCAAAATTTCAGGTATCTGCAGACCACTTAGAATTGCCTGCCTAACATTTTAGAAAGCAAACATAATACATATGCAATAACTAAGTATAATCGAAACAAAAATTATCTTTTATCTTTATTAATGGATAAAAACGTGATAAAGATGTGTTAAGATCATTATTAAATGGGTGACAAAACTAATATAAAGCTTATTTAAATTATGACTTCAGAAAAGTCGTTGGTATTAAAATTGTAGCATAGAGAATAGAAGTAAGAGATGATCTTTCATTTAGTTTTGATCATTATTTGTGAGTAGATGTACTCTAAATGTGTTATTGAAAAAGATTGAAATATATATTGGTGAAGTAGTGTAAAAGTTCCAAATTTTAATTGGCTTCCTCAAAGAACCATTTCTTAATATCAAGATCCCTCACTACTTTATCTCCTGCTGCATTTGTTAAGAAAGTGTACCACAATCTTCTTCAAGAACCTGTGGAACATCAAGTTGGATAGTATAACACTAATAATAAAGTAATGTAAGGATCACAATAACTTCAACGATGTATTTTTTTATAAGAAGAATTAAAAACCACTTATTTTTCCATTAGGATTACCTACTAACTTTAACTTTACAAGTACAATTAGGGAGAGCATACTGATTTGTGATGCTGATTACATTAATCTTATTTCAAAATATATGTAAGGTGCAAAAGGCAGTTCAATGAAGAAGGGAGATAATTTGACTTTATAGTTGACTTTATAGGTAGAATCAACAAGTATATTGTCAGCAAATTTTAATCCTGATGATTATTTTAATGGTTTCAGTTACTTAAAGCAAATACTCATATGCACCAAAATAACCCGGACATTCAGCAAGTTTATGAAAAAAATATCAATTCTCTCAGGACTTAAGAACCGATGCAGAGACATGGTACTGGAGATAATGTATGGTTTTTATATTTAGAATAATGAATAAATTGAAAACGCATAATTTATTTTCCAGTCCCAAATGCGTTTTCTTCTAAAAGAGAACACATCCGGATGTGTATAATTTTTTTCTAACGAAGATAGCATAGAATTGTTCGGAACTTAAGTGATGATGTATGGAGATCACCCTGTTACAGATTGGCAAAGTGGTAATTGTTTAGTTTGAGTGGATAATTATCAAGAGTGGAGAAGAGTGAAAGTTTAAAGATAATTTAAATAAAGTACCACATAAATGCTCTTATATACTCAATATAATATTACATTAATATTACAGAAGCAACCGATTAGTTGGAGATAAAAAATTAATTAGCCCTTATAAGCTATTGAAAGTTCTCAAAGACTTTTGTTATTGAATTCTTATCATTGCCAAATATTTTAATAACTAAAAAATTAAAAAAAATTAAAATGATAGAAATTAATTAAATGTATCTTATCTTAGTAAACTTCTTATGCTGACCGCTTACAATATAAGTATATAAAAGACCAAAACAAATAATATAATATGACAGTTCATTTAACTTTTTGAGTAAGTGCAGAGCTATGAAGCCCTTGGTATTTTTAATTTTGGCGTTAGCTGCAGTCAATGCCTTTGAATTTCGAACCTTGCAAACACGCAATGTTGAAATGCCCGTCTTAGATGAACCAACAGGGCGCATTACAAATGGTGAAAAAGCCAGAGCAGGACAATTTCCGTATCAAGTTGGTCTTTCACTTAAACTGAATCTTTACTCTTCTTCGTGGTGTGGTGGTTCACTAATTGGCAACAGTTGGGTACTGACAGCTGCTCACTGTACTGATGGGTAAGTGAAAATTATAGATCCATAATCAATAAATAAACTTTTTTCTAAAATAATTTATTTAAACAGCGTACAATCTGTTACCGTCTATTTGGGTGCCACGGAGCGAACCTCTGCTGAAGCCACTTATACAGTGTCAAGCAATAACATTATCATTCATGAAAATTGGGATCCAACTATATTGCAAAATGATATTTCTTTAATTCGAATTCCATCAGTTGCCTATTCCAATAGAATTCAAGCTGTCAAATTGCCTAATATCGCCGACTCTTACGACTTATACACTGGCGACGTTGTTGTTGCTTCCGGTTGGGGACGTATAAGTGATAGCATTAATAGTGTTACCGAAGATTTACAATGGGCTGTTCTTGAGGTTATCAGTAATACCAAATGTGCTATGACTTACGGTAGCAAAGTCATTCTGCCTACTAACATATGCGTTGATACATCTGATGGAGTGTCTACTTGCCAGGGCGATTCCGGTGGCCCACTAGTGTTGGTTTCTAGCGGAGTACAAGTTGGTTTAACATCATTTGGTGCCGCAGATGGTTGTGAGAAGGGCTATCCAGTAGCATTTACTCGTCTCACCAGTTACTTAGACTGGATTAAATCACATACTGGAGTTGTGTACTATTAAATATTATAAAATGTTTACATCTTTTAAAAATTAAATTAAAATCATTAATTCAGCTATTTAGAGTCTTTTTTTATAAGAAATCATTTTCTGATATTAATTAGTAGTTAAATGATAGTTAACTTAACTCAAAACCGAGTTTATTCAACATAACTAATCGTATAGTTTTTTAAGTAATCGCTTTACCATGCAATGATTAGTATACTAGATTATGTTCTTACTAGATGAAAGTTTAGCACGAATAAGGAATGTTGACTACCATAAAATGCTTCTAATATGCAATTGTTCATATGAATAGGATTGTTTATCAGTATAAAAATGCTAGATGTATAGGAACTAGTTGACCCAATTAGAAAAACTTTATTGTGGCAGAGATTAAGACACACGTTTTCAAGTGTCGCTGTGAAGAAAGATCCATTGCTTAATATAATGAAAAGTACAGCACAATGTGCCTCTGGGCCTAAGTTGACCCCCCTGGCATCGCTGGTATAACCTAACTTAATGTAATGAAAAGTAAGATTTGATGAAATTTACAAAAAACTTAAAACTATATTTAAAATAAATTGAGAGAAAGGAAATATAAATATAAATAAATATGTTAAAGTGTTTTATAAGAAATTATAGAGATCCATATATTATCCGACTTATTCTAAAATTATTAATAAAATTTTTAAATCAATATTCCTCAATCTATACCACAACTAAGAACTTGTTATGAAGGCACCCTCAATAGGGTGTCGTTGAAGTCGGGTCGGCCGACAATAAATATTTTATAAGACTTATATGGCAACAGGGAAATTATTTTGTGGCGAGGGAAATTATTTTTGGTGAGAGTGATGACCGGAGGTGTTGAATAAAAAGTGTGGGCAGACGGGAGAACAGTTTTTTTTTTTAGCAGAGACTGAGATAAGTTAAGCACGTTTTAAGAAAAACAAAATAGAAATTAATCCATTAACGTCAGCGAAAATTCAAATAATGAATAATATACGAAAAAATTCTAAGTGAACAGACTTTATGTGAAAAAATGTGATTGCATTAACGAAGACCGTTTGTCTGCTGCACATGCTTGCAATAAAAACTCAATTTTGCGATCCTCCAGCCAAGAGTTAAAACGTGCCTTAATTCTAAGCAAAGTTTTGAAGTGGAATATTTTAAATGATTTTTGAAATATGACTTGTCGATCAAAGCAGAACTGTTTTTCGCGCCAGAAAGGTCAGCCATCAGCAGCAACACTGGCGTTAGCCAGCAGTAGCAGAGCCTAAGTCAACAATCAGTGGCAGCGGATGCAGTGGCGTTTCTCAATAAAGAATTAATATAATAAACAAAGAGTATGCGTTTAAAATTTTTGGTTAATGGGACGGGGGACGACAAGAAACCCTTCTAGGTTCCGTTTCAATCGCGCATTTCCGTATTAACAGCTGATTAACGTTTTTGAGTTTGAATTGCTGTTGTGGTCTAAGTTAAGACCTAAATATATACATGCTGGGAACAGCTATTACACTACTAAATAAATTATTGGTGCTAAGCTATAGCTAAGATCAAACCTCTTATAATAATATCCCATCTAAGATTAACTTAATATGTTTCCATTGACATTGTAATAACTTTTATTTGGGTATACACCAACAGATTAAGATGTAGAGAACCATTATTAATTTTTGCATGTTTAGTTTTATATTCTCAACTAAACAACTGAATTGAAAAAATAAGTGATAATTCCAATTTGAACAATTATACCAAGAATAAAAGAGGGTGTTGGAAAATAGAAGAGAAGTGCTGCACTTATGTAAGTAGTGTTGGCTAACCGAACCAAGCATTAACTTCATAAGACCGTAATAAAACCAGTTTAGTGTCCTTAAAAGTAGTTAGGAATAGTACACATACCTTAAGATGCGTGATCATTTACGAATTTCACGATATAGCTCACTATAACATTAGGAACGAAGTTCAGCACCTGAAAATGGTTAGCTACAAAGAGTTTTGTCCAAGTATTTGAAAGAGAAATAGAGGAGAGGCGAATTGCTAACCTTTGTAATGCTTGTTAAACCATTTGGTTTTTCAGATGAAGTTGAGGAGATCCGATAAGTTTACTTTCGTTATCTCTTCCAAGTCAGTAAAAAAGCGATCCCCGAGACATTGAAATCGATTTGTTTGAAGTCCTGGAAATGGTTGATAGATTCTGCCTCCTCTGCATCTTGACAACTCCTGCATAATCCGCTTGTTGGAATTCGCCACTGTTGAAGCATAGGTGCAATGGCACAGTGCCCCGTTAGTACTTCAGTAAGCACACGAACTGCAGGTTTGCTGAAGCCTAAATGGCTAAATGTAAAAAATCTAAATGTAAGGATAAATATTAATGAAATAATTAAAAGATTATTAAAAATTATATACATAAGATATAAAATTATTTTAACTTCAGAAAATAAATTACTATTAAATACAGTTAGAAAGCTAACTTAATTAAATATAGAGACTTTAAACATATATTTACCAGTCAAAAGAAGTAGTTGCGCAAAAACACTGGACTGCTTACAACCAGTTTTCAAACACAATAACCTTAGCGGGAAGAATAGAAAGCTGATCTGTGAAAGCTGGTGTGTCGCATATAGCAAAGCTGCTGAGTCTACTACACAAAAGCTACAAGTTGCTTAAAGTCAGGCTCGGTCAAAAAATATATACGGGATAGAGCTCTGAAGCTATATGCGACAACCGACAGGCTGCCCTACTTAGCACTATCTAATCTCAGAGTAAATACTAACCGCACGGGGCGGTACGCAGATCTTAGATCAATCACTGAATGATCATGAAGCCTATAAGGAATACATAAATTAGTCAATGAGATGGGTGGGACCCTGTAGTACCCCCAGCTATCATAGAGTAAAAGTGCTCAGATGCACTAAATTGGACTTAACATAACTAACTAAACATGTATTTAATTTAACATTAAGTATAGAATATCGAAAGTTAGTTACAAAACTAACTAAATTAAACACAGTGAAGTAAAGTGGATAATTGTGTTATTGAAACTAAATTACCTCAAATATTTTGTATGGGAAAAGAAATTAATTGCTGAGCAATTAGCGATTTTAATGTATAATTGTGTAAATTAAGAGAGTGGAATGTATCTAATATATCTAATCTTATAAAAAATAAACAAATAAAGGTAGAAATTAATTAATAAGAAGTTTACCTCAAATATAATGGATCTTGACTAGGAATGGTTCTGCTTTATATAAATAAATAAGCAAATAAATAAAAAGAAAGTAAAACTTAAAAATTATTAATGAGTATTTATGAATTGTTAAATATTATTAATTTGTTGGTTTATTATTAGCTGTAGCAATTGAAGTTCCTTGAAATTTATTTAAAGCTATTCAAAACTATTCAGTGTTCTATTGTGAGCACTAAGTGTTTATGCGAGTTCCTAAAAATATGCAATGAAACTGTTTCACAGTTCGAATATGGAAGGAAATTAGTCCTTTTATTTAAAATGAATATGGAAAATATTATTAACATTTATAAAGTAATAGATTTCTTATATAATAAAAGTAACAAAGCAACAAACTAAAGTAATAAGTGTTTTGTAAAAATAATTTGTTTAAAAACTGTTCGCGTCATAAGAAATTTATGATATATTCTAAATTTTTTTAAGTATATTCGATCAAAAGAATAATTGAAAAGCACTTAAATTTAATCAAAGTTTCGACACCATCATATCCCAAATGATATCCACACAACATATATTAAAATTTAACTACAAATACTTTTGTTTTATAACTAATTTCATTGTAAATTATGTGAATAATATTTGTTCATATAAAGAAAATTTCAATAAACTTAAATTGATATAATACTGATTGGTTTTATTCAATAAATCTAAATGATTATGTGTATGTATCTCAAATATATATTAATAAGGATTAATAATAAAAGAGTATATATTTAAAGAAATGATGTTATATCAATAGCTAAGAATATGAATCTATTAGGTATCAATCACTTTTCACACTTTTATAGATACTGTAGCAAATTATATATAACATATATATATAAGTTATATATATAACTTATATGCTATATATATATATAGCAAATTTATATATGTATTATATAAATTATAAGACTATTAAAGAGTCTTCATCCTTGTTTTAATACTCATTATTATAATGAATGTGAACTACGTTCTTACTTCTAAGCGAGATTTATTTGGAAATTTAAATACTAAACTTTTTATCTTTCACTCTCTTTTACTAAAATATTATTTTAGTCGGAAGTCGTTTGCAGTCCAATGGCTGTCGTTAAAAACTTATTCTTAAGAAGAAGTTTTGGTGGATTCAAATCTCACACTTACAGATTTTGATGGTTTTTACCTAACGCCAAGAAAAAAAATCCATAACAAGGAATCAGTCTGATCACAGCGACTGTGCAAGAAACAAACAAAAATACTTTTTGGTATTACTACAAGGCAGATCATGGAAAAGGTATTTTTTTAGTCTGTTCTATATACTCTAAATATCACTATACTATACTTAATAATAAGAAGAAAGTGGACTTTTATTTATAAGGAATAGCGAAGTGAAGATTTTGTAAAAGAATAAAAAATTCATTCGATTTTATGTCTTATACATTTTGTAATATTAAAATAAGTTTAAGTTATAATAAAAATAGTTGTCTACCATTACAGGTAAAGGAGCTTTAGACCATTATAAGTTGCGATCATTTCCGGTCTCATAATTATAATTACAATAATATTCCAGCAAGTAAAATCAATACATTCAGTTAATAATTAATATATTAAAGTTCTCATTATTTAAACTCAAACTATTTTTGAATAATTTGTTTTGAAATCACGAAAATTTTAAAATAATACGTGCGATATAATATAAACTTACATACTTTTTAGATAGCATCAGAGTCCTTCTTTTCTGACTTGGTATTCTAATGGGCTTCATTTTTCTGTCTCACACACTTGATCGGACCCGCTACTCTTGGAAGTGAACAAACTCAAATGAAATCGAAAACTGAACTAAATTTTAATAGCACTTGCTTCCCCAAAAGCAAGTGAAACAAAAGTTATTAATCTGACGGTTGTTCAATGATTGATAAAAATTTCTTGCTTTTTGACCGGAAACAGATTTGCTTTCACTTTTTTTTCGTGAGATATCATTCGGCGCACTGCGAAAGCGACTCAAAGTAAATAAGTGTGTGTTACAATTTATATGAAGCGAAGTACACATAAGTATTTCCTCATGTATACATAACAGCAGCTTAACATAGGTTAAATGCACACGGCACACCTGACTAGATAGCACAGAGGTACATAGTACCTCCGGCCGTATAAAAGGTGCCTCGAAAAAGAGCAAATGACAGTACTGTATTTGATAACAGTTGTTAACAATGAAATTCTTAGCAGTTTTCGTATTGGCTTTGGCTACTGCCACAGCATTTGATCTTAGATCAAACGAAATTCATCACCTTGATGTGGAAGTGCCTGTACTTGATGGACCTGATGGACGAATTACCAACGGTAAAACTGCAACAACAGGACAATTTCCCTACCAAGTTGGTTTGTCTATTAAGAAGAGTGCATTGTCTTCATCATGGTGTGGGGGCTCACTAATAGGCAAGAATTGGGTTTTGACTGCTGCTCATTGCACTATTAGGTAAGAAGTTAATTAATTTATTATAAATTTATTGTATTATGACAAAATTTCATTTCACTTCTAGCGCCAAATCTGTAACAGTATACTTGGGTGCCACTGTACGTACCTCTCCCGAAGTAAGCTACAATGTAGATGCTAGTGATATTATTGTGCATACTGGCTACAACTCTAAAACCATAGTCGATGATATTTCTTTGATTAAAATTCCATCAGTTACCTATTCCAGTAAAATTCAAGTAGTGAAATTGCCTTCCATTGCTAGCACCTATTCTACATATACTGGCGATAACGTTATTGCTTCCGGTTGGGGACGTACCAGTGATGCGGTTACCACAGTCACCACTAATTTGCAATGGGCTGACCTTGTTGTTATAAGCAACACAAAATGTGCTGCTACTTATGGCACTGCTAGTGTTGTCGCCTCAAAGATCTGCTGTTCCACACCAAATAAAGTATCTACCTGCCAAGGAGATTCTGGTGGTCCATTGGTTTTGGCTTCTTCTAAAGTACAAATTGGCTTAACATCTTTCGGTGCGGAGAAAGGTTGCGAATTGGGTTATCCAGTTGCATTCACACGTTTAACCAGTTACTTGAATTGGATAAAGTCATACACTGGAATTTCCTATTAAATGTACTAAACTCTGAGATTTCAATAAAATAAATTCGATTCAAATATTTTTCTAGTTTTTCTTTAATATTTCAATATTTGCTATAATAAGAAAATAAAAATACTTCTGCATACTTCTGAGCGCAGTTACCGGATCGTACCCATGTGATTGGATTTAATCTAACGGAAGTAGAATTTTGAAAAGAATATACCTTTGTATTTCTATAAGCTATGACGTGAATGGTAACTTGATAATTAGTATCTTCAGTTCGGTTCATACTATCTACACCAGATGGAAGATTGTAGAGGACAGTCGTTATCTTAACATAAAATTGTATTGCCAAAGCGCGTAGGTTTGGATTCATTCATGAATTCTTATCTGAGCTAAAAATTTTGGCATTTTTATGAATGAAAAACTTACTATGAAGTGTTAAGTGTTATCGCCGGAATGTCTCAATGTATTGACAATGATTGGCAAAAATTTTAATTGGCATTGACGATAAAATTCAAAGTGTGGAATTTGGATTCACTGCTTTGCTTTGATTAATCGACTATGATATTGTTTATTATCAAAGAACAATTAAAGACAATGACCATATAAAAGGTATGAATCGAATTGTTCTACTTGCCATCGAAAAGGAATGTGAACGTTAGAAATAGCATTCAGCAATTTTATCGTTCCGTCGATTTATAATTTTGATTACATGTAAGAGATAGTTTATATCCAAAATGTATTTGAAATTATTAAATCATCATTCAGAGAAATCATCACTCAATCAAAATTTATTTTAAAGTCTTCAAGGGGGTGCAATAATACAACAATATCAACGCTTGTTCCAATCATCCACAAACATTTTGTGGACTGATGAAGGTTAAGATCAAATTATTGCGACGGTTCGGTATATTCATTGAGTTTTTTACTAAAAACAATTCCTTATGACTATTTATGCCATCGCAGAACATATAAAAGTATAATGTCATAAAAAGGATTGATTAAAGCACTTATAGAAATGAAAGAATATGAATACTTTAACACAGAACGTATAGGAACTCAAACTTAACTCTACATAAATAAAATATATACATAGATATATATGATATGTATGTTATGAAAATCAATGAATCTATGACGTACTCGTAATTATGTGTGAATGAAAAATACGAATATTAGAAAGACTTAAGTGTTGTAGTTGAACAGTTTAATAGTCTATAACGACTTCAATGTCCAAGAATTATTTCAAGCACTCTGATATTTCATACTTTTTGTGTCGATATTTTAGGAGTTTTAACAAACAGGATCGTCGAATGAAGGAATATCGTTAAGCTTGCAAAAAATCATTTGATACTTTTTGAATACGGTGCAGATTGATCCACCTATTATGATGTATGAAGAAGCTATGATGTAGGTAACGCCAATTGATGATGGTAATTTTAGCAGAGTTACCAATTCATTGAGAAAAAGCTATAATAAACTAAGTATTTACTAAATTGAATATAAAATAGAAGTTAAATAATATATTGAAAATGTAGAGTGTAGTAAAGTAAATATATCTACATATATCTACATCAAAAAGCAAAATTGCAGTAATTGGGACAGTGAAAGTGATTATTGATCCTACAACTGATTCTCCAAATATCATTGCAGTCACTGAATAGTGTATTATTTTATTCTTTAAACTGGAGGTGTGATGGGTGCGTTATATCCAAAATATTTTAAGTACATCAAAAACAAAAAAAAAGAAATAAAAAGTATAACATTGTCATAAATATTTATGTCCAAATTGCATTATAAATAGAAATTCTAATTTACCACAATTGTCATTAGCATTTTGATTAAGATTATTTTACAGATACTACAATACTTCCTCTGGAACTCAACCCTTTCTATTATTGCAGATTTTTGATAAGTTCATTAAAGCAAATTAAAAACTTGCATCTTGAAGTCTTATCAATTTTTTGCGTCGATAAATTTTCTTATCTTAATTATTTATATTAAATGGAAGAATTGTGATAGTAAATAATACAGAAGTGGTTATCGGTGGTATGTCATTTTGTATAACGCAATCACCTACTTCCTTAGAGTTTGAATTTATTAACTATAAAGTCACTTAAAGATAATCAGTAATAGCTCCGATTAATTTGGGTGCGATTTGTTTGTAATAATAAAAAAAAAATCAGAACCCGAAATCTTTTCTTATTTTTATCGTTTTGGTTTGCTTTAATCGAAAGATAAGCCGCTTAAATCATTCAAAGCCTTGGCAAGCTAAGAGTATAAAAGCGTTACGATAATATGTTATTGAAATCAGTTTCTTCACAATGAAGGCGGCTATTGTTCTAACAGTTTTAGCTATTGCAGGTGTTTCAGCTAACACCTTGGGTTTCAGTAATGTTAAGCCCTTACATATAAATCCAAGAGAAGAATTACTACCAGCTTCTAATGATATTCCAAGTGGACGCATCACTAATGGCAATTTGGCTGTTCCCAAACAATTTCCATACCAGGCCGGTTTATTACTCTATGTTGAAGGAGGCGCTGCTTGGTGTGGTGGCACTTTGATTTCAGATCGTTATATAGTAACTGCTGCGCATTGTACCGATAGCCTGTAAATGAAATGTTTATTATAAGAAGTTCATATACCATAACTTGTGGAATTAATTTACTTTTTTTTAGTACTACTGGTGTCGATGTTTATTTGGGTGCTTACAACCGTCTTGATCGTAGTGAACCAGGACAACAAATCATTTTTACGCCTAAGAAATACGTAACTGTACATGAAGAGTGGGATCCAGAAGCTATCCGTAATGATATTTCTTTAATCAAATTACCCGAGGCAATTACATTTAATGGTTAGTAAAGCAACTAATTTACACTTCACTCATTGGATTATTTGTGTTCTTCTAAAACCAATTTTTATTTTTTCAATAGATTATATTCAACCCGCCAGCTTGCCTAAATATTCACCAGATGATGATTATTCAACTTATGAAGATCAATTAGCTATTGCTTCAGGTTGGGGACGCACAAGTGATCGTAAGTATAATTTATTAGACGTAAATGGAATGGATGTAAATGCTAATAATATATAATACACACAATTTTTGGAATATATCTTCACCTGTCAAATTATTTATATTTTGAATCATAGAAGCAACTGGTGTAACTGACGTTTTAGAGTGGATTGAAAGTCCAATCATGAAGAATAACATATGCAGTCGATGGTATTTGGGATCAATCAAATCATCACAAATCTGCATTAAGACCACAGGTGGTGTTTCAACTTGCAATGGTGATTCTGGTGGTCCCCTCGTTTTAGATGATGGCTCAAACACACTTATTGGCGCTACATCCTTCGGTATTGCTTTGGGTTGCGAAACAGGTTGGCCAGGCGTATTCACACGTATAACTTACTTCTTAAAATGGATTGATGAAAAAACTGGTTTAGTTAATATTAATTAAACATTATAAAATAATTAAAATTAATTAAATAAAGAATTGTGTTTATGTTCCTAAATTTATTATTACATTTATTTTTAATTACAATATAAATAATTTATAATTTAAGTTATCTTTATGAAATGATTCATCATCTTTAAATTTTGGTTTTGGTTTGTAAATGGATTCGGTTTTGGGTATATCAAGGCATTTCTCACAATCATCTTTTAAAAACTTTGTTGGTTTATAATTTTTAAGTGGGTAATTTTCAATATATTTATTGTACCACAATGGCGGACGCGATATATCTTCATAAGGTTCCACTCCAGCCACATCACTAATCCAATCGAGATATGATGTCACCTTCGTGAATGCAGCAGGAAATCCTTTATTACAGCCAAATATGCTGCCAAAAGAAGTAATGCCTATAAGCACACGCTTTCTTGAGTGTTTGCGTCGTAAGACTAAGGGACCACCCGAATCTCCATGACATGTAGAACGTTTTGCACGTCCACTTGTGCAGATATTTGTGGGGCGGTATGATAAGGGAAAGGTGCGCTGACATGTTTCGCCATCCACAATTTGGAGTTTAGCGTAACGTAACTCATTGCTAATGGCTTATACGCCAGTGGCATAACGACCCCAGCCTGAAGCGATGGCCAGTTTATCGTTGAAATCGCGGTACTCGTAACTTCGTTTCGGCAGCGATATGGGCAATATGCGTTCTGTAAGACAAAGAAATAAGTTTCAAAATTTGAATTTTTTTGTCAATGTCAAATGTTACATTAAATGTAAACAAAAAAAATGAAATCAAACTTTATTGCAATTTCATTAATCGGTTAAAGCGATTATTACATCATGTTTACATCGAACGTTTCTGTGTTGAAAAAATTAATAATTAAAATTTTATTATTTGAATTTCTACATAGGAAATTTTTAAATTAATACTCAAATTTATGAGGTGCTCTGCGATTTATTATAAATTTTATAGATAAGTTGATATCTCTCAAACACAAGGAAAAATTGATATTGATTGAATTTATGACTATTTCAACGAATGTAAGATAAATTCGCAGTCTTCGTTTTATGATAACACGAAGGTTTTTTTAATAAAAAAAACCTATTTTTACTATTACAGTCAGTTCATATAGACTTCTGATTTTTTACTATTATACTAAATATAATTTATTACATATACAATATATAGTATAGTATAGGATTATAATACTATATCCATGGGCGTAGTCAAGTGGCGCTTATGGGGCGGTGACTCCTCGTTAAAAGTGTTGGAACGACACGGATTCTTTCGCTTGTTCTATTTTTGCTGGGGTCTGCCCTTGTGCTGCGTCGCTTTTATAAATTTTATTTAGAGAGACACAGTTTCACAAAGGGAAGAAAATTTCATTCATTAATTCCTCATTAAACTTAATTCATTTTAAAGTACAAAGTAGTCTATTGCATAAAGGTAATAATCATTGTAGAATAGAAAAAAATATTGGTTTTAATATCCGAAATTTTGTATCCTAGAATGTTTGCTATTACGAAAATTATGTAGATTGAATATCTGGAACTTGTGCCTTAGAGTGTTTACGATTACTTGTATAAAAAAATCAAGAAGTCTCGTATGTAGCGGAATATATTATATGTACGTATGTACGTTGACTTAAAACCGCCTTTGCGCCGGATAAATTCTATTCTCTGACATAATACGCCACCGAGTGCTCATACAAGAGACATAACCCTTCTATGACATCGAGTAGCGCACACTAATTCGTTTTTACCTATGCTGAAGTCATAGTGTTTGATTTGATATTATATATCTTTTCCCTTCTATACGGTGTTATGTTGGCCTCTCAATTTTCTTGTAGGCATCTCTTTGCGACGACTATTTTGACGTTTCTGGCTTTGAGGTTATACGATGATTTGTTTTGAATTTGTGAAATGCGTTTTTGATTTAGAGTCGGCAATAGTGTTTATTTATAACAATAAATTATAACAAATATAAATAAATTTATTGTGAAAAATAAAGAAGCGTGGTGTAGTATTATTTAATCGAAATATATTTCTCTATTTATTATAAATTTATTTTCATAAAATTTCAGACTACTATAAGTATTGTATTGTAGTTGTGTACCTACAAGGGTGGGTCGGTGGGTTTTCGGTTAGTTGTTTATAATAATATATTAAATTTTAATTAATCTATTTAATTTCAGATATTAACCACATTTTCGTGCCTATGTGATGTATTAGATAGAAGAAATATTGTGTCTTTGTAAAATATTTATGTTGATTTTATTTAGGTTGGAAATTCGTACAAACTTTCATCCTTACAATGTGGCTAAAGTATTATTTTACAATGAAAATATGGTCCATTCAGTTGTGCGCCTCTAATCAATATTATGTATTCCTAGCAAAATTGTATGCTTTTGAAAACTTTTGAAAGCAGTTTTTCGGTTTTTTGACAAATTTTACCAAAAATATTGGAATAGACTGTATTTTTTATTTCAACACAATAACCTTTATTTTATTTGACCAATTATATAAAGTTAGATTTTTTTTAAATCTGACTCAATTACTGGTTATGAACATAAGCGCATCACATCAGTCAGATCATAATATAATAATATGAAAAAGTGTACAATAAGAAAGTAATAGCTAGAGAGCGGTATCCTTCTCTGAGTCATTACCTTAGTTCAGAAGTTGCTCTTCATGAAAGAGATAACGTGCGTCCATGCCCTCCTCAAATGTTTTGAGGAAGCCGGAAAGGAAACGGACATTGTAAAGTTCATACACATAAATGTGTAAGAGGTATTCACAGGCAGTGTTTCTACTGAACTTACATCGGTTGTGGGAGCAGGTCTATTGTCGCCCACTTCTGTTGGGGGATTAACAATAATTTGCGGTGCTATTACTGGTTCCCTTACGTTAGTTGATGATTGCTCCTCATCCTTTTTGTAAACCTTCATCGTGATGGATGAAAAACCGTAGTTTAAGACACCTCAAGAAATCGCCAAAGTAGCCAAGGATCATAAAACTAGTCAATCATAAAACTGACTAACTTATATTTAACTCTTGCTTCTTTTATCTTCGTTTTCTTCCACGTTGCTGTCCTAACCTCATGGTTTCCCAATCGAACAAACTTCATAGTCCGTAGAAGATAGGACAATTCAGGAAAGCGCTCTAGGCTCGCTAAGAATTTGTTTCTTAGTAATTTATTGAGTTGGGTACCTGTCCACACCTCACCAATTCTGGAGATTGCGATAGAGATCAACAAAACGCTGATCTGCGCAGCGATTAGCTTCACATGGCCTTGAAACAATTCAGTATCGCGACAGGTATAATCCTTTCCAAGAAAGTCTTTAGGACGTCAATGTACACATCCATAGGCTTAAGTTAAATCATATCCCACTCCTCAGGTGTAATTGTGTCAACCGGGTCATTTTTATCAATGACCACTATAATTATGGAACCCATCAGCATGTTGCTAAAGGACATGTTGTTGTGGCGTCACCTTTTTAGCATTTGGTCTCAAAGCTGACTCATCTAATAACTGCTGTCGCTTCTTAGAGATATCAGGGGCTTGGTTATCCTATGCAATTTTATGTATACATGAGGAAAGTTGTGAAGAAAGGAAAGTCGATCCGGGCAGAGACTATAGAAGGACTGTATAATGTAACCGGAGTGCGCCAGTTATCCAGAAACCTCCGTTAGAAGATAGTAAGGTAATGCTATTAATCTCGGGTTGAATAACAATGAAGATAACGGGTTTTTATCAAGTTTCCTCTTTAGATCCATTATATTGGTACATTATAGATTACTAACATGAAGAACAGGTTCACCTCGAGAAGGGTGCGGTGTATTATCACTCATCTTGGTCTTAATTTAACATAGGATTAAGATATATAGATACTATATTATGCATAACCATACCACGTTCGTTAAAAACATAATCCACGAACCGACGAAAACGGTCTGAAAAGAGTTAATATAACTTTGAATTTCTTCATTATTTAAAAATACGTAGATGAAGCAAAACATGCGTTACGTGCCTTGTAGCCCGAATCGACCATAGATTCGTCAATTCAAATAATTTAATGAGCAATTGATTATTATTAAGTTTTTGTTCAGTTTTTGGTATTCAAATAAGCATATACAAATATATAACATAAGTATATGTTATATACAATACATAAAATACCTTTTATTTTAAATATGACTCCTTCATTAATTCGGACTTAACTTTAATGGATCCGGATTCGAGGGGTTTTACTATATTTAAATAAATAAGCAAATAAATAATTAGAAAATAAAACTTCAAAAATATATTATTCTTATTTATATAATGTTAATATTTATAAATTTGATAGTTTATTTTTAACTAATGCAATTCTAAAGTAATTCAAAATTACTTAGTGTTCTATTGTGAATTGTTTATGTGAGTTCCTAAAAATATGCAGTGCAATTGTTACGTAGTAATAACTTAATGAAGGTAATAAGTCCTTTGATTCAAAATGAATACGGAATATGTTAAATTTTTTGAAGTAATAGATTTCTTATATATTAAAAGTAATTATTGTTGTTGCTATTTATTTGTTTATAAGGTCAATTTAATACATTATCAAAAAAAAAATTATAATTATTAAATAATAAAAAAATCCTTTAGATACTTTTGAAGATGTTGGAAAAAACCCAATGAAACGCCGAGGGAAAAAAGGATATAAGTTAAAACACTTAAATTTAATCAAAGTTTTAACACCATCATATCTCAAATGATATCCACACAACATATATTAAAATTGAACTAGAAATACTTTTCTTTTATAACTAATTTCATTGTAAATTATGTGAATAATATTTGTTCATATAAAGAAAATTTCAATAAACTTAAATTGATATAATACTGATTGGTTTTATACAATAAATCTAAATGATTATGTGTATGTATCACAAATATATATTAATAAGGAATAATAAGAAAAGAGTATATATTTAAAGAAATGATGTTATATCAATAGCTAAGAATATGAATCTATTAGAAATCAATCACTTTTCACACTTTTATAGATACTGTAGCAAATTATATATAACATATATATATAAGTTATATATATAACTTATATGCTATATATATATATAGCAAATTTATATATGTATTATATAAATTATAAGACTATTAAAGAGTCTTCATCCTTGTTTTAATACTCATTATTATAATGAATGTGAACTACGTTCTTACTTCTAAGCGAGATTTATTTGGAAATTTAAATACTAAACTTTTTATCTTTCACTTTCTTTTACTAAAATATTAGTTTAGTTGAAAGTCGTTTGCAGTCCAATGGCTGCCGTTAAAAACTTATTCTTAAGAAGTGGTTTTGGTGGATTCAAATCTCATACTTACAGATTTCGATGCTTTTTACCTAACGCCAAGAAAAAAAATCCATAACAAGGAATCAATCTGATCACAGTGACTGTTCAAGAAACAAACAAATATACTGGTTGGATTACTTCAAGGCAGATCATGGAAAAGGTATTTTTTTAGTCTGTTCTATATACTCTAAATATCATTATACTGTACTTAATAATAAGAAGAAAGTGGACTTTTATTTATAAGGAATAGCGAAGTGAAGATCTTGTAAAAGAATAAAAAATTCATTCGATTTTATGTCTTATACATTTTGTAATATTAAAATAAGTTTAAGTTATAATAAATAGACCATTATAAGTTGCGGTCATTTCCGGTCTCATAATTATAAGAAAAATAATATTCCAGCAAGTAAAATCAATACATTCAGTTAATAATTAATACATTAAAATTCTCATTATTTAAACTCAAACTATTTTTGAATAATTTGTTTTGAAATCACGAAAATTTTAAAATAATAAGTAATATAATATAATATAATAATAAGATATAATATAAACTCACATACTTTTTAGATAGCATCAGAGTCCTTCTTTTCTGACTTGGTATTCTAATGGGCTTCATTTTTCTGTCTCACACACTTGATCGGACCCGTTACTCTTGGAAGTGAATAAACTCAAATGAAATCGAAAACTGAACTAAATTTTAATTGCACTTGCTTCCCCAAAAGCAAGTGAAACAGAAGTTATTAATCTGACGGTTGTTCAATGATTGATAAAAATTTCTTGCTTTTTGACCGGAAACAGATTTGCTTTCACTTTTTTTTCGTGAGATATCATTCGGCGCACTGCGAAAGCGACTCAAAGTAAATAAGTGTGTGTTACAATTTATATGAAGCGAAGTACACATAAGTATTTCCTCATGTATACATAACAGCAGCTTAACATAGGTTAAATGCACACGGCACACCTGACTAGATAGCCAAGAAGTACATAGTACCTTCGGCCGTATAAAAGGTGCCTCGAAAAAGAGCAAATGACAGTACTGTATTTAATAACAGTCGTTAACAATGAAATTCTTAGCAGTTTTCGTATTGGCTTTGGCCACTGCCACAGCATTTGATCTTAGATCAAATGAAATTCATCACCTTGATGTGGAAGTGCCTGTACTTGATGGACCTGATGGACGAATTACCAACGGTAAAACTGCAACAACAGGACAATTTCCCTACCAAGTTGGTTTGTCTATTAAGAAGAGTGCATTATCCTCAGCATGGTGTGGTGGTTCACTAATAGGCAAGAATTGGGTTTTGACTGCTGCTCATTGCACTATTAGGTAAGAAGTTAATTAATTTATTATAAATTTATGGTATTATGACAAAATTTCATTTCACTTCTAGCGCCAAATCTGTAACAGTATACTTGGGTGCCACTGTACGTACCTCTCCCGAAGTAAGCTACAATGTAGATGCTAGTGATATTATTGTGCATACTGGCTACAACTCCAAAACCATAGTCGATGATATTTCTTTGATTAAAATTCCATCAGTTACCTATTCCAGTAAAATTCAAGTAGTGAAATTGCCTTCCATTGCTAGCACCTATTCTACATATACTGGCGATAACGTTATTGCTTCCGGTTGGGGACGTACCAGTGATGCGGTTACCACAGTCACCACTAATTTGCAATGGGCTGACCTTGTTGTTATAAGCAACACAAAATGTGCTGCTACTTATGGCACTGCTAGTGTTGTCGCCTCAAAGATCTGCTGTTCCACACCAAATAAAGTATCTACCTGCCAAGGAGATTCTGGCGGTCCATTGGTTTTGGCTTCTTCTAAAGTACAAATTGGCTTAACATCTTTCGGTGCGGAGAAAGGTTGCGAATTGGGTTATCCAGTTGCATTCACACGTTTAACCAGTTACTTGAATTGGATAAAGTCATACACTGGAATTTCCTATTAAATGTACTAAACTCTGAGATTTCAATAAAATAAATTCGATTCAAATATTTTTCTAGTTTTTCTTTAATATTTCAATATTTGCTATAATAAGAAAATAAAAATACTTCTGCATACTTCTGAGCGCAGTTACCGGATTGTACCCATGTGATTGGATTTAATCTAACGGAAGTTGAATTTTGAATAAGAATATACCTTTGTATTTCTATAAGCTATGACGTGAATGGTAACTTGATAATTAGTATCTTCAGTTCGGTTCATACTATCTACACCAGATGGAAGATTGTAGAGGACAGTCGTTATCTTAACATAAAATTGTATTGCCAAAGCGCGTAGGTTCGGATTCATTCATGAATTCTTATCTGAGCTAAAAATTTTGGCATTTTTATGAATGAAAAACTTACTATAAAGTGTTAAGTGTTATCGCCGGAATGTCTCAATGTATTGACAATGATTGGCAAAAATTTTAATTGGCATTGACGATAAAATTCAAAGTGTGGAATTTGGATTCACTGCTTTGCTTTGATTAATCGACTATGATATTGTTTATTATCAAAGAACAATTAAAGACAATGACCACATAAAAGGTATGAACCGAATTGTTCTACTTGCCATCGAAAAGGAATATGAACGTTAGAAATAGCATTCAGCAATTTTATCGTTCCGACGATTTATAATTTTGATTACATGTAAGATGATAGTTTATATCCAAAATGTATTTGAAATAATTAAATCATCATTCAAAGAAATCATCACTCAATCAAAATTTATTTTAAAGTCTTCAAGGGGGATGCAATACAAAAATATCAATGCTTGTTCCAATCATCCACAAACATTTTGTGGACTGATTAAGGTTAAGATCAAATTATTGCGACGGTTCGGTATATTCATTGAGTTTTCTACTAAAAACAATTCCTTAATGACTGATTTATGCCATCGCAGAACATATAAAAGTATAATTTCATAAAAAGGATTGATTAAATCACTTATAAAAATGAAAGAATGTGAATATTTTAACAACGAACGTATAGGAACTCAAACTTAACTCTACATAAATAAAATATATACATAGATATATATGATATGTATGTAATGAGAATCAATGAATCTATGACGTACTCGTAATTATGTATGAATGAAAAATACGAATATTAGAAAGACTTAAGTATTGTAGTTGAACAGTTTAATAGTCTATAACGACTTCAATGTCCAAGAATTATTTCAAGCACTCTGATATTTCTTACTTTTTGTGTCGATATTTTAAGAGTTTTAACAAACAGGTTCGTCGAATGAAGAAATATCGTTAAGCTTGCAAAAAATCATTTGATACTTTTTGATTACGGTGCAGATTGATCTATCTATTATGATGTATGAAGAAGCTATGATGTAGGTAACGCCAATTGATGATGGTAATTTTAGCAGAGTTACCAATTCACTGAGAAAAAGCTATAATAAACTAAGTATTTACTAAATTGAATATAAAATAGAAGTTAAATAATATATTGAAAATGTAGAGTGTAGTAAAGTAAATATATCTACATATATCTACATCAAAAAGCAAAATTGCAGTAATTGGGACAGTGAAAGTGATTATTGATCCTACAACTGATTCTCCAAATATCATTGCAGTTACAAATCACTGATTGGTTGTCCTTTGGTTCTTTAGCCTGGAGGTATGATACGCTCGTACTGCTTTAAAAGTGATGAAAGAATGACAAAGCTTCGCACCAGCACTCTGATCACAATTCCTATTGGTACAATTTTAAGGATGTAAATGTGGAATGTATCGAATCTGCAAAAATCACTTTACTTCAGATTTGGTCTGAAGTGTCTAATAATGATAGCCACACTATTACTAAGTTTTCTAGCTGCACAATTGAAGATTTGGATGTTAACGATATGTCGTCTCTATTTTAAGATATTATTTATTCTCTTTTGGTTTTTTTGTTCGAGAAATTTCACTGACTTTTAATTTCACATTCATATGATTTGACATGGTCACGAAGATCATACGATCAGACACAACTGAACTTTTATTTGTTTTTTTTTCGGGGTTTCGAAATGAACCAATATTACGAGCATCCGTCAAGTAATATTTGTGTTATTACTACCTATGAACTGACAAGTCTTCAAAAATTCGCATACAAGAACCCAGGATTGTGAGACATCTCTTCGAAATATTTGAATACTGCTGTATTTCATACCTAATCGAAAGGTCTAAACAATATATTGAAATAAAAATATGCTTAAAATCTCAATCAGAAGTGTGTTTTATTAACGTTTACTTCTGGAACTCTAACTTGATTAACCCGTAATATATTAAATAATTAAGTTTTCCATCTCTAGTATCATTGGTACAGGCATAATTCAGTATTTAATAGTTGTATTTGTTTACATATTAAATTACTAATTATTATATCCCCTAAAACAAAGCCAAAAAAATTTTGATATACCATATAATATAATAATAATCTGATATATATAATTATATCACGGTACCAACACTGCTACCGTATTTGATATTTTCTGTTAATATGAACTAACCTAACTTGGCTGTAATTTACATACTTGTATATATATATTCATTATGTATATATAATGTATATATGTAATGTATATAATGTATAATGTAGTTCATATTAACAGAAAATATCAATCACGGTAGCAGTGCTGCGTTCTTTGAGATCCAGTACCTTGTTTATTTTCCGGTCAGTTTAGAAAAAAATCTAGCTGCTACCAAAATATTAGGCATAGACTCACGGATACTTATTCACATTAAATAGAAACGTAGTTGTCCTCTAATAAGCTACGTGTCTAACTGATAGGTGAATTCGCGGGTTATCAAGAAGATCTGCTGTGCTGTGCCATTGTCACACTGTTCTACTGTCCCATACTTTCAATACGTCTACTAACTTACTGACTTATTGCTATTAGTTGTACTCATATTAAGTGATTGCCTGAAAAGTTTGATATGTGGCATAATTGATCAATATGATCGAGACGTGCAGATTGCTGCTTACGTATAATCCAAGATATTTTAAGTACATCAAAAACATAAAAAGAAAAAATATAACATTGTCATAAATATTTATGTCCAAATTGCATTATAAATAGAAATTCTAATTTACCACAATTGCCAATAGTATTTTGATTAAGATTATTTTACAGATACTACAATACTTCCTCTGGAACTTAACCCTTTCTATTATTGCAGATTTCTGATAAGTTCATTAAAGCAAATTAAAAACTTGCATCTTTAGGTCTTATCAATTTTTTGCGTCGATTAATTTTCTTATCTTAATTATTTATATTAAATGGAAGAGTTGTGATAGTAAATAATACTGAAGTATTTATCGGTAATACGCCATTTTGTATAACGCAATCGCCCACTTCCTTAGAGTTTGAATTTATTAACTATAAAGCCACTTGAAGATAAGCAGTAATAGGTCCGATTAATTTGGGAGCGATTTATTTGCAATAATAAAAAAGAATCAGTACCTCAAATCTTTTCCTATTTTTTTAGTTTTTGTTTGCTTTAATCGAAAGATAAGCCGCTTAAATCATTCAAAGCCTTGGCAAGCTAAGAGTATAAAAGCGTTACGATAATATGTTATTGAAATCAGTTTCTTCACAATGAAGGCGGCTATTGTTCTAACAGTTTTAGCTATTGCAGGCGTTTCAGCTAACACCTTGGGTTTCAGTAATGTAAAGCCCTTGCACATAAATCCAAGAGAGGAATTCCTACCAGCTTCTAATGATATTCCAAGTGGACGCATCACTAATGGCAATTTGGCTGTTCCCAAACAATTTCCATACCAGGCCGGTTTATTACTCTATGTTGAAGGAGGCGCTGCTTGGTGTGGTGGCACTTTGATTTCAGATCGTTATATAGTAACTGCTGCGCATTGTACCGATAACCTGTAAGTTAAGTGTTCATTATAATTCATGGTATTAATTCGCTTTCTTTTAGTACTACTGGTGTCGATGTTTATTTGGGTGCTTACAACCGTCTTGATCGTAGTGAACCAGGACAACAAATAATTTTTACGCCTAAGAAATACGTAACTGTGCATGAAGAATGGGATCCAGAGGCTATTCGTAATGATATTTCCTTAATCAAACTACCAGAAGCAATTACATTTAATGGTTACTAAGACACTAATTTACAGTTCACTGTTCTTCTAAAACCGATTTTAATTTTTCTGTAGATTATATTCAACCCGCCAGCTTGCCTAAATATTCACCAGATGATGATTATTCAACTTATGAAGATCAATTGGCTATTGCTTCAGGTTGGGGACGCACAAGTGATCGTAAGTATAATTTTGTGTGTAATGGTTTGTGTAAAAACCACTGAGAGAATTCGTAGAATTAATGATGAGTGAATATACTTATAATATATAATACATGTAATTTTTGGAATATATCCTTACCTGTCAAATTATTTATATTTTGAATCATAGAAGCAACTGGTGCGACTGATGTATTAGAGTGGATTGAAAGTCCAATCATGAAGAATAGCATATGCAATCGTTGGTATTTGGGATCAATCCAATCATCACAAATCTGCATTAAGACCACAGGTGGTGTTTCAACTTGCAATGGTGATTCTGGTGGTCCCCTCGTTTTAGATGATGGCTCAAACACACTTATTGGCGCTACATCCTTCGGTATTAAATTTGGCTGTGAAATAGGCTGGCCAGGAGTATTCACACGTATAACTTCCTTCTTAAAATGGATTGATGAAAAAACTGGTTTAGTTAATATTAATTAAATATTATAAAATAATTAAAATTAATTAAATAAAAAATTGTGTTTATGTTCCTAAATTTATTATTACATTTATTTTTAATTACAATATAAATAATTTATAATTTAAGTTATCTTTATGAAATGATTCATCATCTTTAAATTTTGGTTTTGGTTTGTAAATGGATTCGGTTTTAGGAATATCAAGGCATTTCTCACAATCATCTTTTAAAAACTTTGTTGGTTTATAATTTTTAAGTGGGTAATTTTCAATATATTTATTGTGCCACAATGGCGGACGCGATATATCTTCATAAGGTTCCACTCCAGCCACATCACTAATCCAATCGAGATATGATGTCACCTTCGTGAATGCAGCAGGAAATCCTTTATTACAGCCAAATATGCTGCCAAAAGAAGTAATGCCTATAAGCACACGCTTTCTTGAGTGTTTGCGTCGTAAGACTAATGGACCACCCGAATCTCCATGACATGTAGAACGTTTTGCACGTCCACTTGTGCAGATATTTGTGGGGCGGTATGATAAGGGAAAGGTGCGCTGACATGTTTCGCCATCCACAATTTGCAGTTTAGCGTAACGTAACTCATTGCTAATGGCTTGTACGCCAGTGGCATAACGACCCCAGCCTGAAGCGATGGCCAGTTTATCGTTGAAATCGCGATACTCGTAACTTCGTTTCGGCAGCGATATGGGCAATATGCGTTCTGTAAGACAAAGAAATAAGTTTTAAAATTTGAATTTTTTTTTCAATGTCAAAATGTTACATTGTATGTAAACAAAAAAAATGAAATCAAACTTTATTGCTATTTCATTAATCGGTTAAAGCGATTATTACATGTTTACATCGAACGTTTCTGTGTTGAAAAAATTAATAATTAAAATTTTATTATTTGAATTTCTACATAGGAAATTTTTAAATTAATACTCAAATTTATGAGGTGCTCTGCGAGGAAGTTATCAATACATTTTACTATAAACTTTATAGATAAATTAATATCTTTCAAACACAAGAAAAAATTGATGTTGATTGATATTATGGCTATTTGAACCAATACTTGACATAGACGTACGGATTTTGCGGATTTTATTAGATTGAAAGCAATCATAAATAGACTCAGTTACGATTATAAAACGTAATGTTTATTAAAATCATCGGAAGTCAAGTTTTGCCATTAATACATAGTTCGTAAAATTAATCATGTAAAATGCAAATGTTATGATGAAATAATACTATAAAATATTGATATTGTGTAAATATGATATTCCATATAAAAAATATTATCTATTAATTTATAAATCCATTTGCTAAGAATTCAAGAAGTAAATAATAAAAAGAAGAATTGATCATTTTGAACTAATAGATTGAACAGCAATACGTTAACAGTAACCTTTCACTTGCCGCATAATAACAGTTACAATTTAACAGTCAGCAGCTTAACATATCTTATTTAACAGTAAGTGGTTAGGATTAATGAAGCATTATTTATGATTAATAACATACATACAGGAAATGTGTTTATATAATATATATATTTCTACTATATAGCATTATTTACTTTTTATTTGTTTTTTTTATTAATTGAGAGGAAATCCTATTTTCATATTTTTATATGAGAAATTATCTCATTGAATAATATAATAATTTTGATAAGTGTTCTATTTGTTCGTCATTATTTCTTCTATATATTTAATTGTTGGATTTTGTCAGTATTATATATATTACCTAATTATCGCATTATATTTGAATTTGAATACGTTTTTAGTACTAATGTAGGAATGATAATATTTTTAATAGTTAGAATAATTTCAACAAAACACAAAACAATATTATTATATTTTTATGTCAGATTTAACCTAAATATTAGAAGTAGATCAACAGACATAAATAGAGATCTTAGGATTGACTCAGTGAAAAAATATATCAGAGACAGAGCTCTAAAACTATTCAGAGCTAATTAACCCTGCCCTAACAATCCTCAAGTCCACTTCTGGACTCTCAGGAAGATATGCTGATTTAAGGTCCGTCATCAACAAAAAGACTTTTTAGCCTAGTTAAAGCCTAGTGTGTGGTAGAGATAAGCCCCCCAGCCTTTATAGAGTAAAAGTTCGTAATAGCACTAACTCAAGAAGAAGAAGAATCAAGAATCAAGAAGTAGTAAACCGACTTCTAATCATAAATCATAATCAGATTTATCAACACAGAAATTTGATCATGAAAATCTTTGCTGGTTTTTGATTACAATCATTAATAACTCAATAAAGCTAATATAAATAGTACTTCTTTCGGAAAGAATATCGAAAGCAGTGTTATTTCCAAAAAATGTAAAATGGTCTACAAAACAGTAAATGTGTAAGAAGTTAATTATGATATTATGAGAGAATACAATAACATTGATCAAAATGTAAGTTACACTTATCTACTTCATACTTTATTTATCACTTATATATACTTATTTACTATATTTAAATGAACATACATGGAACTAATTATTGCTTCCACTATAATCTAAATGGATTGCATAATGTTGAAAATTTTTTTCTAATTCTTGTGCTATTCTTAAACTAATACAGAAGTACCTATTCCGAGAAAATGTTCTCTATGCTTAGGATACTTCAAATATCGGAGTGTATAGAGTCTTTTACTATATAACACTAGTTGCAGATTAATGACTATAGATACCATGTTAGACAAACATTATCATTGGTAAATAAAAATAGATGGAAGAGGTCTCTTGACAGACGAAAACTACTATTAGTTTTAGAACAATTTGATTTTTGGCCGCCTGCTCTCTCAAAATGAAAATCTCTTACGATATTTACTCTGACTACAGCAACTAGATAGAGGAAAAGAATAAAAAAGTCTGAAGGTTTCTAAGCCGCATGGGCCGGATTAAATTGATGTTTATATACTATATAACAATTAAGCAGTTAAAAATAAGAATTCGCACTTAAGTTGAGGTACCACTCCGCTAACCAAACTTGTGATGACTTTTATAATTAAATAATGATGATGAAGTTATAATGATATTTAAACAATGACATCGAATAGATTTCTTTCGTAAAAAAAGATATAGAGTGTGTGGGAAGGATATAAAAGCATTGCCTTAATATTTATTTTGATTTTTTTATTTATATTAATAAATTACTCAATAAATCTTTTAGTGTTCAAATTAAGTACTGGATAAATTTTATTCACTTCATCATAAAAATTTAATAATTTTATTAAATATATAAAATAAAATAATTATTATTTATTTATTATTTGAAGGCTATTATCGTAAATGTTTAAAATAAAAAACTTATTGTTTTAATGAGCGAATATTTTTAATAATAATTTTATTTTTTAACGGGCTAATGGGTCACTAGTTAAATGATACACAGATATTATTTGAACTGATATTTCGACCATATTCTATAATCATTATATTATATATAGCAATATTTTAGTATAAATCATAAAGAAAAATTTAAACAATACATTAGATATAAAAACGAATTATGCATATAGAGGATATAATTATACAGTAAATATAACAATATATATATAAATGAATGATTATATTTATATTTATTTATATATATTTATATTTATAAACTATACAATAAATATAACAATACATATATAGATGAATGATTATATTTATATTTATTTTATTTATATTTATTTATATATATTTATATTTATAAACTATACAATAAATATAACAATACATATACAGATGAATGATTATATTTATATTTATTTATTTTTGTATTTATTTATATTTATCCTTTTCCGGGTTTGTTATACACACCTGAGCACAGTCTTGTATATCAGTTTTATAATTGAGTCTGGTGTCAGTAGGTGACAGTAAAATATATATTGCTACATTATATAAACTTTGTATAGTACCCTGGTAATATAGACTATAGAATAAAGTCAAAATATTGGTTCAAATAATATATGTTAAAAAACAAAAAATTATTTACAAACTTTATTATTTAACTATTGATTAATTAGCCCGATAAAAAATAAAATTATTATTAAAATAAAAAACTAAAAGGAAAGGATTACATAAATAAAAATAAATATTAAAACTATATAAACAGTTTTTTATTTTTAAAGTTTACAATAATAGCATTTAAATAATAATTATATAAGAAAAATAAAAAAGCTGTTAATAAAGAAAGTATCCAAACGATTATTTTAACTACAAAAAAAATTATTGGCTTACTAATCGAAGTGCGTATATATAACAATAATTATAATTGTACACATAACTACCTGAAAATTCTATAGGTTCTGGTAATTGCACTAGTGCAATATCATCTTTTAGACGTGCTGGATTCCATGTGGGATATATATAAAAATTAGTCTTATTAACCATGATACGTATCTGACCATGCTCTTTTGCATTTTTTATTTCATGTGCTCCCAGAAATATCAAGGCGCGTTTCGCCCTTCAAAAGTATACCAAAAATGGAATAAATATATTAAAAAAGTTTGAATAATTTCAGAATAGAGTGAGAATATCGACTCACATATCTACACAATGTGCAGCAGTTAAAACGAATTCATCAGATATTAAAGCACCACCACACCAATAAAGACCTTTTGGTCGTTGTAGCAATAAACCAACTTGATATGGAATCGTATGTGGATGTGCTACATTACCACCAAATATACGATCCATAGCACGGGCACCACCAGGCATTAAATCATCTTGCATAGGTTCGCTATCCATATTCATAACCATTGCGGTGGGCTGCGCATAAAATGATCCTTCGCTGGATAGTTGATGCATTAATGCCGTTTTAGACGCAGACATTGAGACCACATACATGGGCTTAACATTTCGCCATTCTATAGCCCAAACAGTATTTAAGCATAGAAGAAACACACTAACGAATTCACAACACTTCAGCACACACAAATAGTTTTTTAACATTTCTTCGTTAAAAGAAATTATAATTTTATTATTTTTATTTGGTCAATAAATCAAAACACAGTTGGTATAATTTCCTTATGAGTGAGATTGTATCTCGTATCTCGTATCTTGTATCACTTTTTTCGTATCGTTTTAACTATAACCGCGCGATCGTTCAACTGAGCTCAGCTTAACTCTTGCAAATGTTTTTATAACTTTTGTTGGATAAGCTTTCGTCGCTTTGATTGCGGTTGCTCTGTTAGGGAAGTCTCAGTCAGTTGAGTTGCGGATTGCATATCGCCACCAAACAATGCCCGATCAACTGTTACCTATAATATAACACCATTTGGTGTTATATTTGGTGCTGATTCTTGCAATTTTCAACATCCCATCATCAATTGAGCATTTTGTCGCTTTTCCAATTCAATTAACAGTCTGCCATTACGTCAGTGCTGCGCGCCGCACACCGCTCACCGCTCGCTGGTTGCTGCTTACTACCTACCGCCAGTGCTGGAGTTGGGACACCGTCCGTCTGCCAGTTCGCCGCTTTATTATTTTCCATTGAGAAATATTTGCGGTTCACTGCAAACTATTCGAAGCAGTTAAATACAAAAATAATTGTTTATTGTTATTTTATTATGTTTTTTTTTTAACTTATTAATTTATGCACATTTCTTTTCTTTTACTTTGCATCTTTAATTACTGCTATTATTTTTCAAGACAATTAAATGCGTTATGTACACATTATGTGGTGTGGCAGTGCAATTCGGTAGCCGCTGCTCTTAGGCTTGGGCTCGAAATTGGGTTTTGGATTTGTCTTTGGAATATCGCGTGTATATGGATTCGCTTATTATCAAGGTTATTGTCGGCTCAAATGTTAACTATTTGCATATTATTTAATAATGCTAATTTTGCGCTTTTTTCACTGTTAATTACATTCTTTTTTAACATTAAAATCTTACTGTTAGCGGTGAGAATAGCGGCTGTTGAAATGTCAGAACTTAAATTTGCTTAATGGTAGATAAGGAAGGTGCTAAGGTAAATATAAACATTATTTATTTAATTTTTGGATTTTAAAAATTATATACAATCTTTTTTCATTACATACTAATGGAAAAATAACAAATGTAACTTAAAATGTTAAATATTCGTAATGTAAAAATAGATTTTAAGCTGCCAAAGAACAGTGGTTTAAGGAGTGAGTATTATTTATCAATCTTTCTAGACACGAGTTTTAGTTTTATCAATATGACTATATTTGATTCTTACCCAGAAAATTCAGTCAAATTTATTGGTAGTTTAGTATCAACTATAATTCTGTATATGGATCATTTTACTACTATCTCTTGAAGACTCTTTCATATAGAAACTGTTTCCTTTTAATTATTTCATATAAATTATTTCATATAAATTATTTCATATAAATTATTTCGTATAAATAAATAAATAATAATAGAAACTTCGAATAAAATAATCCAAACAGAATTTTGGTGATTACTAAACACTACTAATATGCTTAACAAATAAGTTTTCAGAGCTAGAATCAAATACAATCCATTCTGATTAACTAAAAATCAGTGTCCCTAAAATAAATTCGTGTCCCAAAAGAATGATAAATAAAGCTTACTCATTGCGACTGTTTTTTCCTAATAGAATTTCTAAAAAAATAATAAATAAAGCTTACTCCTTAGACCACTATTTTTTTCGGAGTTTTGGACTTATTTTCGCTTATTATTATTTATTTCTGACAAAACTAAATTCTTCTTTAAAGCAAAAACTTCTTTTTGTAGTATTGAAAATAACTTTAAATATTTTTTTTTTATTTATTTAAAACTCCCACAACATAAAGCTCTTATTTAACATAATATTTTTCGTCTATAATGTTCTTTTCTTCACTGCTAATAACATCTATTAGTTGACTAATTCTACTGTTATAATTTTTTCTTGCTGTTGTAAGGTTTATGTAAATATAAGTAAATATAAAGATTGTTGAGAAATAAATTTATTTTTAATTTAATTTTCTCTATTAAGCCTAGTGCTAACATTCATTTTCCACGAAAAAGTTTATATAAAACTCCTTATAAAAAAATACAAATCAATCAGAATGAATGATCATTCGTAGTTTTTCATTAACAACTTTGCAGAATATCTTAAGACCGGCACTTTATGCTAACGGCTACATTACTTAGTATTAGAATGATAAATACTGCTTTAGAAGATTTCTTCTATTAATGGTTTAAGATTAACATAATCCTTATTAGTAGCGATTTTAAAGTTATAAGGTGTAGAAGTACGTATACTGTCTTATACTATATAAGCCCTTTGGAAACTATTTCAAGTGATGTTAATCATGTCATCTTCATAAATCTAATATTTAAAGCAATATTTTCTTTTATCTTCATAATCAATATATTGTGTAAATATGTGTGTATATGTGAAAAGCCTTTTACTTTCAGTCCACATTTAATTATGACATATTTTCGCTGATGTAAGCTTTTACTAATTAATATTAAAAGTAATTTTAATAATAATTTTCTTCATTATACGAGTAGATTTGTCGTTAATATTTTGTAAACATTTATTAAATAATAATTACATTTTTAGTAATCAACAAGTAATTTTTATCTTTTATATGTGAAGCAATTTAAATATTAAAATAGTATTTAAAAATAAATTTAAATATGTTTAAAAACTTATTAAATACAAAATTACACAATTTTTTCATAATTTATAATTAATTGCGCAAAATTCATTGTACACAATTGTTCAATAATTAATTTAAAAAATAGAAAATATTTTAATATTACATTATTTTTTTAATTACACGCCTACGCTTGGCTTTTGTATGAAATTGTGAAATATTTCAATATTCTGAACTATATGTTTTACTATAAAAATATGGACTATAAACAATTACTCCAAGAAAAGGTTTACGTTTAGAGCGTAGTAAAAATAAAAACGCTAATCGCCAACACATAGATCCATTTGTATTCGTCCAGCAAGCACACTACGGTATCATCCAATACGGTATTTTCGATTGATGAAGAGCTTCGATGGTCTTTTGATACTTTTCACTATATTTGAATATAACCTTATAGATTTTGATTGAGCACACCTGCACTATAATCCGATACAGTGCGGTATGATTGATATATGATGTGGTGTGATAGACTATGTACACTTTTGACTACATTAGAATGCAACATATATAGATATTGTGTGTATAAGAGGTTTTATATCCGATTAATTGTTATTAAGTAGGCACACCCGCAGTATCATCCAATATTGTACGGTATGTTCGATAGATAAGAAGGTTTGACAGTCTTTTCTCTACATTTGAATTAGCTATTAAGTAAGTATAGTTCCAATATCATCCAATATTGAAAGGGTATGAGGTGATAGATGAGAAGTGTATGGCTACTTTGCACTACATGTGAATACAATTTTATACATATTGTGTGCGAAGTTGTACATATTATGAAAGATTTTATCTCCGATTTGCTTTTAAAGCATAAGTTGTTACCTTACGTCCAAGATTGTTTAAGTTTTTGGGTTGATTGTAAGTATCTCAAACCCACCTATTCCAATTAGGTATCCTACAGACTTAAATTTACTATTTTGCAGTCAAGATTACCATATAAAATAGTTTCCAAGTCACTCCAATCTATATATCTATTGATACAAACATAATATCACTCTATCTAATGTATTAGACTTAACGAACTTAATAAATATATAGATAGTATAGAGATTTATACTTTGTCTGGTTGCTGGCTTGCTCTACCTGCTGTTACAAACGTCGCCACAAACTTTATATACTTTTTTGAATTTAATAACTGTACAATTATACTATATTAAAACATTTAAAACCATGTGAATAAGGAATACATATATAGTTTTAAAATTTATTACCACATAAAAGTTTATGATTTGAACATTCATTGTAAATTCTTTTTATGACAATCAACACGATTACAAGTTTAATGTTAGCCTAAGAGTTAAAACATTTATGTAATTTAAATTTATTTCAAGTTCAGACCCTCTTCACTTGCCTAAAATCTTGAAGTCTTGTAATATAAAAATAACATACAGTAATCAGATTTTGTATGCAAATAAAAGTTGGAGAAAGTACATGACGTCACGAAGTTGTCTTTTATACATGGTACATATAACTTAACTTAAAGCTATGACTTAAAATTAATAAATAAAATTTGTATTTTGGCTTTTAGTGTACAAGAAAATGTTGAAGCAAATACATGTTTTATGGATTGTGTCACTTATTTTTGGTTCGAATGAAAATAAAGCAGACGCAGTGCAAACAAAGATCGTAGGAGGTACCCAGTTTGCACCACATAAATATCCGTTTCTAGTTGGGATTGCAATTAAAGAACCAACGAACCGAGCTGGATGGTGTGGTGGTGCACTGATTACAACGGATTTTGTACTAAGCACTGCACATTGTTTGAAAGGGTAAGTATATTAGATTTAGATCTATAATACATAGTTAGGTATATTTGTAGTGTATTGTAATGGAAGTTTTTAATTTTTAGCATCACCTTCGCGACTGTTTATATTGGAGCTCATAATGTACGTAATACCACTACGGAAGTGAATTATATCTACAATATTACACAGCAAAATATTGTCTTGCATCGCAACTGGACATCTAGGTATGTGGTGCATGACATTGCATTGATCAATTTGCCAATTAGACTAACAATAGGACGTAAGTCATTAGTTTGTGTAGTTTTTCATTATTAATTATTTTTTATTGCATACAGCAACCATACAAACAATCCAATTGATAGAGAATGATATGTCCATATATGCAGGTTTGAAGCTTACCGCAATTGGTTGGGGACGCACAAGTAATAATGCTACAGCTAAACGACCAGATACTCCATATAGTATTGATCTCAGAATTCTTAACGATCTGGAATGTGAAAAACTTTATCATTATTACAATTCGACGTATAATATATGTGTTGAAGGTAATGAGCTTTATTCAATTTGTCGTGGTGACTCTGGAGGACCTCTTATTAAAATTGATTCTCAAAGCAATGACTATGTAGCTGTAGGATTAATATCATATGGCAAAAAGTGTAATAATCCGACTGTACTCACAAGACTGTCATATTATGTGGATTGGATTAACATACATTTAAATGCAATACATTGAAATTACTCACTACAAATTCTTAGTACCACTTCCAGTATAACAAATTTTAGAAATTATTTAATATAGAAGCAAGGTCTGCATGGTATACGAAATACATTCACTTTATAATTCTCGTATTTTAGATTTAAAAATTTATGTAATTCTCAATATATCTTTAATACTGAACTTAATATCTAAGTAGTAACATGTCTCCAGTGAAATGGATATATGTACATAATTTTTAGTGAAATGATGATTTTATATACAAAATATGTATGTATGTATTTGAAAATAAATGACTTGCATGTTTTTTGCCCTACTTTGTGTTTGTGTTTAGTTATGAAGCGGAATGTTATGTTTTGAATACGATAACTTTTTATATTTCGCAAAACAAATAAAAAGTACATGAATTAATTTGTTAACAAAAATATGATGAATTTAAAGAAATATAAGGTGAAAATGTATTTAAAGCAACTAGTTAGTAACTTACGTGTTAAAAACTTCTAAAATAATTTATGCGCTAATGCTTAAGTCTTATATTTCCAACACTTCTCCAATACGCTTATCAATATAAATACGTTATCATCAAAAATAAGTCGAGTAGATAATAATATTAAAAAAAAAAAATGGATTCTTATATAAGGTCCTCTTCAGTTGAGCTTAAGAAATTTGGTTGTGATGTGATTTCTAAACATTGTTCTTTTTCTTCTAAACGGTCTTCCTTGATGCTAAAAGAGGTTTGACACGCAATTGTATTAGTTTGTATAATGTCTATAGCTGCATTTATTTCGTCTTTGGATTCATGCTTGGTTTCTTCTTCAACGCTTTTGTTCAGTCTTTCAATAAAATCATTAATTGCAAATTTTTTCTTAGACATACGAATTGACAAACGTCGTCCGAAAGTTTTTTTGATTTTTGCACGACGTTGCTTAATAACTGACTTATTTATATTCAATCCATCTGAACAAGACAAGGAACGCTTTATTTTACGAGGACCAATAAATTTGAATTCTGCACAGTTTTCCGAACTTTCTTGTGGTTCCTCAAAAATCGTTTCCAATTTTGATGGTCGGAAATTAGTCAGCTTTTGGTTCAAATATATTTTCTTTACATCTTCAAAACGCATTGATGAAAAATCAATTGCTCTCGATACATCACGTTTGGTGGGTCTCATAATAGTGCGTCTCTTAACCTTTGACATTGAGTTTTCTTTTGAGGCACGAGATGGCATACTGCGGCGTTGCGATAATGTACCAATGCCACCACCTGCAATTGATTTTTCATCATCCTCTTCACTAGCTTCATTGGAACTACTTTGCTTATGATCTGTTTTGACAGAAGAAGTCGCCACAACACTGCTGGTGGCCATTGCGTCAAAAATGTTTACTGGCCGAAAATTATTAAAGTTGTCAGCGTTGCAGTTCGAGAAACTAAATAGAAATTTACACGTAAAATACTACATTCAATTGTGTATTAAATATATTACCGATTTTCTATTAATGGTATTATTCCTTGTCTTATAGAAATTTTGTTTAAAATAAAAGCAATATCTTCCATATCTTATTTAACTAAAAAATGTTTATTAAAAAAAATATGAATACTTTTTTTTATTGTATGTCAACTAACAGCTGACAAGTATTTAGTGTTGCCAACACTTAACTAAAACGAAGGATTTCTATAATTGTTATCGATAAATGTGGTGGTGATGTGTAAAATTATAACCAACGGAATCTCTTTTTAATATAAACATATATTTAGTTAACAACTAAAATTGTAGTCTTTATTTTATTTTATATTATATTAAATAATATGTATCAAGCGATATGCTATGTCGCGCTTCGGAGCGGTCGAATTATAGATCTATTACATGCATTTTAAAATAATTGATACATTATAATTGGGTGACTACCTAATTGCGAAGCTAGGGTTGAGCTCTCTTCGCTTAAAACTTGTGTACTAAGTAAATCATAATATTATTTTAAATTGGTTTCCGATATAACATATGTTTTTAAAATTCAAACAAAGAATTTTTTGTTTCGTTTTGCGGGAAAATTTGGACATTCCTAAAAATATTCACAATATTATTACACATATGTACTATTGTGAATTAAAAATTTAATTTCAATAATTTCAACAAATTAAACAAATAATACATTGTATATAAAGGCAAAAAAGCTAACATATTTTGTCCTAATGTATTGCTTGAAGGACCATATTAATGTGTTTTCACAAAAAATATCCAGTTTTTAATTGACTTTACTTATATGAAAGTGATCATTTGTGTTTGGATTGGCAATTTAATTCTTTCTAGCATTTTATTCCAATTTGAAAATTAACAAATAATAATCGTAGTTTTTATTAAATTTAAACCTAAATTATATAATTTTAATTAAAAATTTCATCAAGACCATCATTTTTAGCTATTACAACCTAATGCGGGTAATAGCTTTTTCTTAGTATTTGTCCAAATTACACATGTAATGATCTTGATTTCGTATATCGGATGTTTATATTTCTTAGTTTTGGTTTTATTGCTTCTAACCCTTGATCTCGGTATCCTCTTACCCGAAAGACAAATTGTATTCTATCATGTCTTTATTTAAAGATCCATTTAATTGTATTTTGAATCGAATTTTGGATAGTATGATCAAGTTAATTTATACGTTTTGCTTTGATAAAATAGTTGATAGTTCTGCAGTGGGACAATCATTCAGTTTTACGTCATAGAGAATTCTAAAGGTGCCAGTTTTACGTCCCAACGGTGAAGTTGATATTTTTAGTCCTTTACGTTAAATCGAAGAAAGACGAGTTAAGGTTAATTATGTCTTCAGATATTAATATTTGTTTATTTCATTTATATATAAAAAAATATCAAAATGTTTAATAGTATTTTAAGCAGAAAAGGCGTTACAATTTCATTTATTTATGATTACAATTTTAATATTTATATTTTAAATAGGAAATGTGTTAATAATTAGCAAATTTAATGAAAA